TATATATATAAATGTTTCTGAAAGATATATATCAATGTTTCTGAAAGTCTCTTACACTCATCAAAGATGCGTTCATTTGACCAAAAATACAGTAAAAACTAATAATGTGAAATATTTTTATAATTTAAAATCACTGCTTCTATTGTTATATTATGCTGAATAAAATATTAATTTCTCAAAACAAATAATGTAGCAAAGTGTCATTTCTTCAGTGTTGTCACATGAAAAGATATAATAAAATATTTACAAAAATGTGAGGGGTGTACTCACTTCTGTGAGATACTGTAAATAAATAAAAGTTTTACTGATCCCAAACTTTTGAACGGCCAGCTCTGGGGAAAAAAGTATTTGAAAATGAGAAAAAAACCCTAAGGTATAAGTACTTAAATTATTTGAAGCAGCTGTCACTGTTTAGAAGTATAAAATAATCCCTTTTAAGTTTTTATCATGCCAATAACAATATCCTGGGAGGAAGACCAAGAGAACTGACCTTCATCTCGAGTGTAGTCCTCTCCTGAGTGAGGCTCAAACAGATAGTCTCCAGTCACCAACTCAAACGCCTGTGAAGACACATCATATTACTGCTCTCTCACATGACACACAAGCAGGAAGTGCAAGTGTACATATGAACATCCTGACCATTTTTCAGTGTCTTTATGAAAAAGTAGACGTTAGATCACTACTGATTAGCGCTGAATGAGTTCGTACCATACATGCAGTGCTCCATATGTCAGCGGGGGGTCCGTACTCGGCTCCGATCAGCACCTCCAGAGCTCTGTACTGACGCGTCTGGATGTCCTCGGTAAAGTGCTTGTGCTGATATAGAGGAGAGAACATCAGTAAACATCACACATCACCAGCTCTTTGTGTTCAAACACCTGATGTGATCCATAATTCACTTTCTGAATGCCTGGAATCGACCCACTGTACTCACCACCCAGCATGCATTGCCTAGGTCTGCAATCTTGATGCGTATTTTATCTGCGTTCTGAGGTTCTAGAGGATTCACTAAGAAATCAGCAGCAGAGTATGCTGGGGGGAAAACAGACCATTTTAGTACTGATGTGAAGCTTTCAGCAACATAATTACAGCCCATTAGAACATATTTGACATTTAATTTAAGATAAAAAGCCTACAGAGAGCAACAGTCGGATTCCAGAAGTAAAAATTTAATGCATTTTTTTTACAGGGGAATTGACTTTGAGCGATAATGCATAAACTTTTAAAAACAGACCAACTGTGAACTGTGCGGTTGTTAATCAATGGTATATGCTTTTGTTGAAGCCATCAGCCACATTATTTCAACTTAATTTTTAAATAACTGTTTTCACTAGGGAATCCTAGTAAAAAACTATAATATCCATAATTCTGCAAAGAAATCAATACTAATTGGAGTCAAACCACACCAAAAGAACTCTTTAACACCCACACAATCCCATGAAGCACAATCAAGTCAAACTCTCTCTGCTCTCAAACTACTTAAATATTTGTGTGAATAATACTCGTTTTGCAACAAAGGTAAAATATATTATTTCAATATACATTTATACTTAGACTTGCTTTATATTTATCCATCATTTTACATTTGATTGAACCATTTCAAAGACTGTAATGATGTGTTTCCAGTTACTAACATCATAATTCTAGCCAATTTTTTTTTTATATTTCCATTTTTAAAAAACTTTCATGCACATTTTTACATTTTTATGCTATACTTAGTAGGGCTGTCAAAAAAAATGTGAATTTAGAATGATTTGTTCTGTCTGCATGCTTGTTCACATCTAAAAGTAACATTTAGCTGATATAGACTTCTAACCCTTTAAAGCATAACTTTATGCAATAATAGTCAGAAAAATCGTTTTTGTTCATCTTTTTTTTGCAAACACGCATGTGTTTTTTGTTAAGTATCATATTTGATAGATCAGGTTTTTATGGCTCATATAGTATGATATAGTAGGGCTGTGGAATTTCGAATATTCGTCGAATTAAAAAAAAAAAAATCCACATTCGAATGCAAAAACGTTGCATTCGAATTTAAGGTCTCAGTCAGCCGTCAGGCAGCCTTATCAGTGGCGCACGAGATGCGATAACGATGTATGTGTCATTGATTGCATTTGAACGCTTTTGTTAGTTGAACCCACTAGATGCGGCGCTGCTACGTTGTTCATTCATATATTGCGGAAAACGAGAGCATCAGTGTGGAGATGATGTTGTTTACGTCAAAACTGAAACCAAGCCGTTCACACAGAACGCATATTTATCACATTTTCTAGAGGGACATCTATCAGCGCTGCACTCGCGTCTCGCAGAGAGCGGCATGTTTAGAAAGCCATGCAAAATTAATGCAAGTTCAAAAGACATTGATTATATTTAAGTAGAAAATTCAAATTTAGTTTTTCAGTCATTTTGACAGCCCTAATACTTAGTGTTATATTACCTTGCATTAAGTTACAGAAAACTAGTCGCAGCTGCTGCGTAAGTGTTTCTAATACAACGGCTGATGGGTTGACAGCAAATTTTACATCTTTCTCTCTTCTGACTAGTGTAATCAATCTGTCTATATTTTTTTCCTCATAGATGCTTTTTCTTATGCTACTGTGGCTAATGGGAATGCAAAAATTATGTGTTGTCGTTTCCGTTCACCACTATAGAAGTTTACCGAACTGTTGTGAAATGGGACCTTTATGATGATTCTTCATGGGATTGTAGTTCTTTCCCTCATTTAAGCAGTTAAATACACAGTCTTATACATTTGTCTTTTTGTCAAATTTTCAAACATTATTTTACTTTAAATCAAAGTTTCTAATGCTGATTAACTTGTAGCTGGTTGGTTTGGTTCATGGTTTGTAATTCAAAGACTATAAAACAAAGACTATAATCCCTATGGGAATAATGAATGTGGGAAAACACTCTATTGGTTGTTTTCCATCAGCTCAAAGCAGCGTACGTACTGTTGGGAGAGAGCAGTGAGCGCTCCGTGGAGTATCCGGACAGAGTGGACAGAGCCGACTCAGAGGTAGCTGACAGGATGGAGCTAGACATGCCGGACAGGCCCGATCCAGGGCTGGAGAAGCGCAGGGGTCCGAAGCCGTTACAGCCCTCCTCCAACCACGACGAGCCCGATTCTGGACTGTGTTTATTCAGAGCTCCTATAGAGTGTCCGTTACCGTTCACTGTGACACACATAAAGAGGAAAATGTGCTGAAAAGTTGATCTAAAATCTAAAATTAAATCTGGCCTCACTTCATTAATAATCTTTTCTTAAGATTCAACTGAAAAATAAAGCATCTTGGAGGAGCTATAATTATCACAGTCCATCAAAATTTGCTTCAGAGATATTGGACTCTGGATGAAAATATGATTGGTTGTCAAAAGTGAATATATAATTTGTTGAAAAGTCTGATATAGGAGTTTAAAAATTTTCAAATTTAATCAGCAGTCATTGAAGCAATGATGTAAATGAGAAATAGAGACAAGACAAATTTCAGCAATTACTACTGTATTGTGCTTGAAAACTGTTCATATCATGGAAAAGATTTTGGTCATGTCGCCATATGGTCATAAGTAGTTTAATCGGGGCGCTTTATGCAACTGATTTTATAATGCTAAAATCTAGAAAGATCTTTAAAATATTGACACTTTCTAAATTAATTATAGTTTCATTCAGGATGTGTTCCCGTGTTCTAAAACAGTCAGACTCAGCAGAATGAAACTGAACACAAGGGTCTTGAGATGCTGTTTTGTTTTGTTTTAAATAACTTGACACAGCATCT